GGCGGGGCGGGGCGGGGCGGGCTGGCGATGATGAAACGGAGTAAAGCTCTTCGCTCGACACTTGTTTTGACCGCGGACAGGCGCCAGACTAATGATGCAGCATGGGGGTCCACCACTTGGCCGCACACTATGCACCCGCGTGCATTTTGCACTGACTCTGCACGCCTGCAGCTCGCGGCGTTACTCCTCCGGCGCCCCCCTCTCCTTTCCCGGGCGTTGGGGGGGGGGGGCTCTCCTCTATACCACGTCAGAAAAAGCACTTCGGAGCCGTGGGTGCGTGGGTGCCCCATCCGCTGGGTGCGGGTGCACACAGCCTTATGAATGAAACGCGTCGTCCGCCCGTCTGTTGTCTGCCTGCCAGCATGTCTGCCCGCCCGCCCGTCCACATGAGGGAAGGGGGAGGGGGCCGCACCAAGGCAGTGTTGCCAACACGGCGATGCCGACAAAACTTCCCTCCAGGTTGGCCAGAGATTCCTCAGGACACGCAAAGAAGCGCCCTACAACTCAGACGAACGAAGCACAAAAGGGAAGTTTGACACCGGTAGTCATAGAAATAATATGTCTAAAAGGCCCGATCGAGTCAATCGAGCCGAGCCCAACTCGTTTAGAATAAGCCTACTGTACTGACCTTTTCCAGATTATCCAAGCTATCCAATGTGCGTTGACGTATCCTTGGTTAAACAACACTTAAGACACTTTCTGATCACTTGACACAAATGCCTTCACTGCACGGGACACAACACATCAAGCGCACAGCTCATCTCACAAACAGCCTCTCACACATCACATCACATCACTCGCGGCTTCTTTTCATCGCGCACAACGAGGCCGTGACAACGCCCACACGGCGGCGCGTTTGACAACTGCCACTCACACACACCACACGAACCACACTCGCGCGAATCCGTCAAAACGCGACGACGCGACGCGCCGCGACGACTGCGGGACCCGCGGCGGCGGCGAGGCGGTCCCGGGGCGGCGGATGGAAGGCGAGTGACGACGCCGGCCTGGCCTGCCGGCCTGTACACCAGTGAACTCGCGGCCCGGCGCGGCGGCGGCGCGGCGGCGCGGCAGGACGGGCTGACGGGTTGGGCCTGACGGGTGGGCTTGGCCGGGGCGGGGCCG